CCTCAGCTCTTCAGCTCAAGGCTAGCGCTCTACCACTTGAGCCACAGCGCTACTTCCGGCTTTTTTCTTTCTGCTTATGTGGTGCTGAGGAATCGAACCCAGGGCGTCATGCATGCAAGGCAAGCGCTCCACCACTGAGCCAACTTCCCAGCCCCTCCATGACAGTCTTATCTCCAGTGAACCACCAGAAAACTGGAACTGGTGTTGTGGCTCAAGGTCTTGAGCAAAAAAGGCTGGGGCCTGAGTTAAAGCCCCACAACTGACCAAAAAAAAAAAAGCTGGAAGTGGAGTTGTGGCTCATATGGCAGAGCACCAGCTTTGAACACTAAAACTAAGCAAGAGCCCAAGGCCCTGAGTTCAAGTCCTAATACTGGCACACCGAAGTAAAGGAGAGGGACTTGCTCAGCCCTGGAGGAGGCCCCGGAGACAGGAGGGGGGGAGTGGGGCGGGTCCTGCGGGCTCACGGCTGCTGCGTTCCAGGTGTGCGGGAAGTCCTTCAACCGCATGTACAACCTGCTTGGCCACATGCACCTGCACGCTGGCAGCAAGCCCTTCAAGTGCCCCTACTGCTCCAGCAAGTTCAACCTCAAGGGCAACCTGAGCCGGCACATGAAGGTGAAGCACGGCGTCATGGACCTCGGCCTGGACAGCCAAGGTGGGTGGACGGTGCGCAGAGGACGGAGCGGGAGCCCCAGCAGCGTGCCGCCCGCGGGAGCCGCCCGGCCAGCTCGGGGAGCGGGGAGGCTGACCAAGGCCGACTCCTCGGTGGGGTGGGCTCAGAGCTGGAGAAGGGGGTACCCAGGGGGACGTGCTGGCAATGACGGTGGGGTATTTATGTCTGCTTCCTAGGAGTGACGAGAGCACGTGAAAACAATAATAATAATAATAAAAGTAATAACTTATGTTGGCTGCGTGCTGCGTGACTGTGGTCCCCACAGCGGGGTTTTGCTCTGGCACCACCTCCATCCCCCCACAGAGGCAGAAACTAAGGCGGGGAGACCTTGGGGGAACTCACGCGGGATCACAGCTCACGGGAGGCCTTAAGTAGATGCCTCGTTCTCGGGAAATGACATTTGATAAAGGACGGTGGGAGGGAAGGACAGACACAGGAGGGGTGGGAGAGGACAGTAAAGGACGGCGGAGCACCCTGCGGGTGTTTGAAGGGCACACAGAGGGTAGCGCCGAGCTTCCCAGCAGCCGAGGCAAAATGTCACAC